TTAGATTCAGTTTAGTTTATTTACAGGACATAGGGAGAGGCACTGTCATCTTTTGAAATAACATTTTCCCCCTATTTACACGAATGAAATATCCATTGTAAACTTATCCTCCCCGGCCATGAGCTCAATCACTACCATGTTTACTGTGCCCTCTAGGCTCGCTCACACCCACTGAATCCTTGGCGGGTAGCTCACACAAGGTAAAGCTTGGTGACGTAGAGGAGGCGCTTCAGGGCAACGACAGCACACACCCGCATTCAGGTGAGGTCGAGCTAGGCAAGCACATTTGCATCGCCAGAGCATGCGTGACAAACGCTTCCTCACGGTGGGGCGGCTAGACGACGGATCTTGGATGAAAGTTCAGGAAAGGCTAAAGTCATCATTTTTAACCTCCAGCCTCTCCTCCTTAAAGTAGCCATGATTTTTTTTTGAAGGGGCTCCATGAGATCAGCAACAGTATGGGCCTTGAGCCCCCCCCTATCAGTTCCTGCTCTTAGGTGCATCTGAAAGACCGCAGCAACATTCGATTTTGTTGGCTTCTTGTAGCGTCATTTTTTTTCACCAATATATGTGCGGCCGTCCACTATGCAATCTATGAAAATCTCAACCTAAATATTAACCTTAATAAATGTATAGAAAACACTAAACCATTTATATTCGTCTAAATATGCTACACAATAGCAGCAAGGGGAATTGGCCAAAATTTATTGTAATGCATCGTGAAGATGCAAAAAAAATTCTTAACCCACCTTAACGCTGACCAACGGAAATAGCGTGGAAGGGATGGAATGTTGAACTAAAAAATTTAAGATTTGATGGCATAAGAAAGTCCTAGCTATAATCTTTAGTGGCACTGAGAAAATTAGCTCCCTAAGGTCGTGTTTGGAACATAGTTTTTTCATAGGAATTTTGGGGATTTCATTCCTCTAGGAAAGAAAGCCTGTGACTGCGTTTGGAACATAGGATTCGTAGTTTCCATTCCGGAGGAAAGGCTTCCAGCTACGTGTGTTTCACGGTGTGGGGGTATGGCCCCCGGTATCCTCAAGACAAGATATGAGCCGCACCATCAGAGGTGGCCCGGCCCATAAGATCAAGGCGTGCACGACAAGATTACAAGTTGTACTAGATATTGTAATAGTATCAAATATGATACTTTACTTGTAACCCTCCTCCTCCAGACTATATAAGGAGAGGCAGGGGACCCCCTCAGGGGATAATCCATCTAGATCATACAGATCATAACAGATCTCACCTCAATCAATACAAATAACAGAGCACAGGACGTAGGGTTTTACGCCACACTGGCGGCCTGAACCTGTATAAATCGTGTGTCTTGTGTCTCTGTAACCATCTGGTTTCTGATTACGCGCATCCTACCGATAATCTACCACCACGGGCAGCCCCCTTGGTGGACTGCTGATCATATTTCGTCGATAGTGGCGCGCCAGGTAGGGGTCCCCTTTTAGGGGTTGTGCGTGCTGATCCATGGTGAACCAGATGGGATCTCAAGACTTACGTCTTGGCGAGATCGACTTTCATCTTGCCTACGACGTCAACATGGAGATTTGCTGCCGAACTCAAGTCGCCGTGCCAAGACCAGCAACCTAGATCGAAGACTCGCGTGGTCGTGCAACAATCGAACCCGACGTCTACTCCGATTAAGGTGGGGCCGACAGGTTTCCATTAACTTGGTGAAGGCATCGGACGAGTACAAGAAGGCGCCAGATCCAGGCGAGTCCGTGCACCGCATCTGCTACATGTCGCACTGCCTAGAGCCTCTTGTTGTCGCTGCCGTTCTATTTTTCGTGGAGTCCGTTGCTTCCCCGTCGCCGAGAAGCCTATCGCCGAGTCCGTGAGGCCCGGTAGATTTGGTATGGACGAGTACGTACATGAATATGTGCCTTTGCATCAGCCGAACGACAACAAGCCAGCAAGCTAGATCATCATGCAAGCCAAGCCAATCAATCTGTACATGCCTCATGTACATACGAGAAGACATGCAAGCCAAACCAAGATACGACAGATCAACTTGCATATACTTACATCACGTGCAGGCTTTACGTACTTGCATCTACACCGCCAAGCAAGCTACCAAGACTTGCCTGTACACATGCATCCACATATGAAGGCTACGTGTTACACCTCCATGTATGAAGCAGATCAACCGCACGTCTTCGTACGCGGACCGACACCGCCGAGCTCCGACCACGACCACGTCCCGAGCAGCTCCGCCGAGCTTCGACCACGTTGACCACGACCACGTCGACCACGTCCTGAGCAGCTCTGCCGAGCTCCGACCACGTCCCGAGCAGCTCTGTCGAGCTCTGACCACATCGACCACCAGACCACGTCGCAATAATGATCGCCGCAAAGAACGGCGCTACGACAACCACGACCACCGTCATGACGACAGGTCGGAAAACTCGAGGACCGGACAACTTTATCGCCATCGACCAGATTTCTATCCAAAGATAAGTACACTTCTAATATTTATATTTAATATAATTTTCATTACGACGTTTCTCCACAACGTCCTCGTCATGATTATTCTTCAAATAACGTTTGTCCATGTATACAATCTTAAATATAACATATAGCTATACTTAATGCAAATCCTCGACCAGTCATGTTGACGCTCGATGCCTCCAGAGACGGCCTTGTCTCCGGCTCCTCCCTACACGTGCACGAGCGTCTGCCCTCTGCGTTATGGGTGGTCAGCAGCGGCTCCTTAGCGATGCTTTGTTCTTCCTACACGTGCACGGGCTCCGCGCCCCGCGTTATGGTTAACGGGCTAGCTAGGGCTGGAGACTCAGCTACATACTAACTGGTCGGGCAGTTTATATTAAGTATAAACACAAACTTCACATTAACACTGATGCTTTATCACATCATACTTATTTGCAAATGACTGCTGAGCGTCATACGCTATTTCTTCACCGCTGATTTTTCTCCATAAATTCTTATTTTGTACATCACATACTACCGTTCTATATATTTATATTGCAGGGATCTCAAGCTACGCTCGGGGACTTCGCCGCTCGCCCCTCAACCTGTGCTCGGGGACTGCCTCGACCACTCTCCGACCACAGCTCGGGGACTTCGCCGCTCGCCCCTCAACCTGTGCTCGACGACTGCCTGGACGACTCTCCGACCACAGCTCGTGGACTCTGTCGCTCGCCCCTCGACTTGTGCTCGGGGACTGCCTCAACCACTCTCCGACCACAGCTCGGGGACTTTGCGTCTCAACTACATGCGACTGGCGACTCACATATAGTTGGGATATTCTTTCTGGTTTGGACCTTGCTACAAGGCTCATACCTCGCTTTCCAGCAAGCTCGGGGACTATATCGGTACGATGCACCTGCCGGTGCATCTTGTATCGCCCGTACGACGATTGGATTCTCAACTTAACTAGGAATTCTTTTTAGACCCTGGCACCACGTGCCTGCGTCACCTACTACCAGGCTCGGGGACTAAGTGGGCACACTTCACCTTGCGGTGAATGTGCTCGATCTGATGGATCAAACGCCTCCGGTTCTACAAGGACGACGGTGTCTCTTCTCGACTCAGAGTCAAATTGGGCACACTTCGAGGGAAATATTTTTCAAACTTTATCTTGAGCCCCTTACATCCTTCTGGCAAGCTCAAGACGACGCTACTCAAAGGATACAAGGTGCTCGGGGACTAGCTGTGGGGGTATGGCCCCCGGTATCCTCAAGACAAGACATGAGCCGCACCATCATAGGTGGCCCGACCCATAAGATCGTGGCGTGCACGGCAAGATTACAAGTTGTACTAGATATTATAATAGTACCAAATAGGATACTTTACTTGTAGCCCTCCTCCTCCAGACTATATATGGAGAGGTAGGGGACCCCCTCAGGGGACAATCCATCTATATCATATAGATCATAACAGATCTCACCTCAATCAATACAAATAACAGAGCACATGATGTAGGGTTTTACGCCACACTGGCGGCCTAAACCTATATAAATCTTGTGTCTTGTGTCTCTGTAACCATCTGGTTCCTGATTACGCGCATCCTACCAATAATCTACCACCACGGGCACCCCCCTCGGTGGACTGCTGACCATATTTCGTCGACACACGGGAAATAAAACATCCACCGTGACCCAAGGGAAAGCTTCTCTCTCTCGTTTTCTCCCGTTGCCTCTCTCTCTCTCTCTCTCTCTGACTCCTCCCTCCCGCCATGGTAATTGAACCCTAGAGAAATTTGGCGCGAACAGGCGGAGATGGCAAACCAGCAGCAGTGAATCAGCCCATCCCCATGAAATCCCCCTCCTGCTTCATCTCTCCCTGCAACTCCATCGGTGTAGGGGCTTGATGTCCACCAATCTGGGGGAAGTCAAGAAATCCACGAACCAGGTAGGATTTGATAATGATATGATTTTCCCCTTCAAAAGTAGTTTTATTTTGCCCTTGTTTTGGATTTGGATCTAAATTTGTGGATCCGGCAACACATGTTCTATTTAAAGATCTGATCTATGGAGTCCTTTTATCTTTTCCCTAAGTTTTCTGTAATAGATGTTATTTTTGTGTGCTTGTAACTAGGAAGCACTCTCTCCAGTTACTTTTATAGCAGTTAGCACAAGGAGATAGCACTTACGTTTTGTATATTATGCCTCTAGATTTTTTTTCTCTTGGTAGGATCTCTAATATCTGTTATTTAACTTATTTTAAAACTGAAATTTTCATCATGTTTGTCATAGGCACCTCAAAGAATAGAGCTAAGTGGAAATCACCAGAGGAGGCTATATCTTATTGAACTCTTAAAAATCCATGATGTGCCTAGATTTCGGACACACAATGCATGGAGTAAGGATGCTTGGACTAGTATTGTGGCTCAGTTCAATCAGAAATTTTCTTTGTCGTTCTCTATTGGACAAGTGAAATAAAAGGAGCAGGATATGAAAAAAGAATTTCGTACCATAAAAGATTTGGTGGCAGAAAGTGGTTTTGGCTAGGATTCCGATAGAATGATGGTGACGGCACCACCAGATGTTTGGGTAGCAATGGAGGCACGTAAGAATAAGGACGCTCTGTTTTGGCGAGACAAGTCATTTCCGTACTATGATGATCTGTTTGCTTTATATGATGGTGAGTTGATATGAGCCTGATTAGTTATTATTTTCACTGGATGCGATTACAGTACTTACGACCACTCTAAAATATTGTCATAATTTTTACAGGGCGTTATGCCAAAGGAAGAAGTTTTCGTGGTATGGATCATTATGCCAATAAGGCAATATCGCCTTCACAAGTTTCTCCTGATGTGCACATGCAGTCACCTTTAGCTATTATACCTGCTCCTGGTTCTTTCAGTTTTGATATTGAAGAGGACAGGGATGATACTAATTGGTTTGGTAATGATGCATTTACTCCATTGGGAACTTTCCTGCCTCAAGAAACACCAGATGGACCATCTTCCATAAATATAGCACCACATGTTCCTGAACAATTTGAAGAAACTCTTCGTCACAGTGCCTGGCCATCTAGTTCAACTCCGGAGGCAGTTGATGGTAAGCGTGATAAAAGGCAAAAGATCAAGCACACTATTACAACTGAACATTTTAATGAGAAGTACTTGAAGCTGAAAAAAGAAGAGATTGAACGATTCGCTGCCATAGAGGAGAAGAAGCTAGATGATCCTTTCAGTATCAAGAAATGCATCACTGTACTTGAGGGGCTTAGTGAGCTACAAACTGGAGATATGCTAAAAGCAGACATCTTCAAAGACAATCCGTCAAACAGGGAAGTTTTTCTCTCATTTGGTTGTGATGCATTACGAGTAGAATGGTTGCTTAGACAAATTTAGATTACTTAAGCAAACTGATATTTTGGTACACTTTTGGTTCATGTGCATATATGCTCACATGATTAGGATTAGCATCCTATAGTGACTGGTTTACAGTACCTGTCACTGTCTTTTGTAAAGTACTAAACTGCAGTACTGATAATTACCAAGAAATTTTAGTACAAGCTAACTAGGTATGCTAATGCATAGGGATGTTTAGGATTAGCATCCTATAGTGACTAGTTTACAGTACCTGTCACTGTCTTTTGTAAAGTACTGAACTGTAGTACAAGCTAACTAGGTATTCTAACGCCTAGGAATGTTAAGTTACATTGTAGTACATCATTATCGCTGAATTGTACATCTTGCAATGTAATCTTCCCACATCCTGTTTGCTATGTGATCTCGCATCTCATTTTCAGCTTGTCGCAAGTTGTTAAATGCTGGCACATCATTACTGTATTGGCCATCTCCTTCTGGTACATCAGTCATGTTGCTTTGATTGATATCTGTGGTAGCACCATGTACCAAACTAGCATCTCCATTGTGTAACCGAATAAAATTGTGTGTTAAACAACGAGCTACAAAGATATCAACCTGTGTCTCTATGTCATATGCTGAAGCAGCTTTTAGTATAGGGTACCTCATTTTTAATACACCAATAGCTCTCTCTATATGATTCCGTAGTTGTGCATGCTGAAGGTTGAATAATTCCTTTGGATTTTGTGGTTTTTGACCTGCTCTTCCTTGTTCTTGTAAGTGATATCTAGTCCCATGGTATGGAGCAAGAAATTGTGGTGTATTTGCATAGCCTGCATCTACAAGGTAGAATTTACCAGGGGGACACTAAATCCATGGTTAAGTGCATCCTATAGAACTCTTGCATCAGAAGCAGACCCCTCCCAACGGGCATGGACATGCACAAATTTTAGATCGAAGTCACATGCAACCATCATGTTCTGTGATAGACCTTGCTTTCTATTTCTATATGGTTCTTGTTTTGCAACAGGAATAGTCATTGGAATATGAGTGACATCGATAGCTCCAATACAGTTCTGTATATATATTAATGAAGTTAATATAAAAGGCCCATTTTACATGTATTAAATATAATTAAATTGACATGAAAGTGAACTATTTTTTTGATTACCTGAAAGTATGGAAAAAATTTAGGCTGCCTTAATATACGATGTGGGTGTGGAGAAGGCAAGCATATGTAGTGGCATGTGAGTTGTGTAAGTGCATTGAGCACTGCTGCAAAGTGACGGCTAATTGTTTCCCCACTATGTTGGAATTGATCTTGTAATACTCGATTGCTTACATTTTTTGATACTGCATAAAGGAATATAGCTAATTGCTCTTCCACCGAGACATACCTTGAATCAACAAGTCCTTTTTCACGCAATCTTCGAACTAGAGCTTGAAAAATCTCTCTCTCCATATGGAATCACCTTTGGCATAAGACTTCATGGCCATTTAGTGTTTCAACAATAAATGTGGCTCCATTCTGAACTGATGTATGTATGGCTTGCCTTTGTGATGATTGGGATGAACTAGCTTCTTGTAAGGTAGGGAGTACGAAGAGAAAAAATTCCTCTTCATTTTTTGATCTACGTTGGTAGCTTGAATCCATAGAAAGAAATGCTATTGTCTGTGATGGATGGATGAGAGAATGGCAAAGTTATTATATTGCTGGACAACACACAATGTTGACACGACAAGCCTATATATAGCAGGAGCAGCAGGATGCTGTAGCAATGTGAAAGGTCCTAATGACTAGAGGGGGGTGAATAGCCTAATAAAATTTCTACAACAATACTTAACCAAATGGTTAGATAATTATGAGGCGAAACAAATGTTGTGCTAGCCTACTCAAAATGTAAGTCACCTACCAAAATTCTAGTTTAGATAGTATCTATTCACTCAATAGCTATGACACTAGCCTATGTTAGTGTGCTCTCAAAGGCTAACTAAAGAGCCACACCAACCAAGCAAACAAGTTCTCACAACTAGCTACACTAAAGAGCTTAACAACTAGTTTGCGGTAATGTAAAGAGAATGATCAAGAAAGTTATATCGCCGTGTAGATGAAGGAACCAATCAATCACAAGGATGAATAACAATGAAGACCAATCACCTCGGAATCAATGATGAACACAATGATTTTTACCGAGGTTCACTTGCTTACCGGTAAGCTAGTCCTTGTTGTGGCGATACACTAACTTGGAAGTTCACGCACTAATTGATTTCACACGCCAAACCCTCAATAGGGTGCCGCACAATCAACACAAGATGAGGATCACACAAGCCACGAGCAATCCACTAGAATATCTTTTGGCGCTCCGCCGGGAAAGGTCAAGAACCCCTCACAATCACCACCCTTGATCAAATGTGCCAACCACAAAGTGTATCACCTTGTGCACATGTGTTAGCATATTTTCACAAACGTTTTCAAGGGTGTTAGCACTCCACTAGATCCTAAATGCATATGCAATGAGTTAGAGCATCTAGTGACACTTTGATAACCGTATTTCGATATGAGTTTCACCCCTCTTAATAGTACGGCTATCAAACATAAATGTGATCACACTCTCTAAGTGTCTCGATCATCAAAACAAAATGGCTCATACAATTTATACCTTTGCCTTGAGCCTTTTGTTTTTCTCTTTCTTTTTTCCAAGTCCGAGCGCTTGATCATCACCATGGTATCACCATCATCATGTTATGATCTTCATTTGCTTCACCACTTGGAGTGTGCTACCTATATCATGATCACTTGATAAACTAGGTTAGCATTTAGGGTTTCATCAATTCACCAAAACCAAACTAGAGCTTTCACAATGCCAGGGTAAAAAAAATACAGACTAGCAACGGAACTTGAAGGCTCCAACGGCTAACTTACCAACGGCTATTTTCTCCTTGCATGGGAAAACGTGAATGTTCAAAATTTTCCTACAATCCAAACAACAAACTTCAAATATTCCTCTGTTTTGGATTCCTGTGGTTTTTTCTTTATACTACATCATATTCCTGTATTTTTTCTATTCCTCTGTTTTTTCCATTCCTGCGTTCAGGGCGTTACTAGTTTGGTTACTCATGCTCGACACTTTCGCCTAGACTTGTTAATAGGCCACCTAACATGATCTGTCCACAAAAACCGACCCGACCTGACTCGCCAGCGTGGTCTAGGCCATAATTTGCAAACCATGAGCCGATCCAATCCGAAAAAACGACCCAAAGTGAGAAAACCTGATAAATAGTCAAACCCAACCCAATCCATTACTGTAAGTTTGGCTCGGACCAAAAATTTTGATCTAATTTTTTTCGGTTCGATCCAAACTTTACCTAACCCGGTGTTTGATCAGTTTTTTTTTTTTTTTTGAGAAAGGTGTTTGATCAGCTTTCACCACAAAAAGAAATCACAGCTGTGAACTGTGATGCAAATGCGAACGACCTTTTCTCCTTTCAAAATGCTCAAGCCATCTCCCATCTGACGACTGGGGTTATTGTGTCACAGCTCGCAACCACCACTCAACCTGCATCGTCCTCCAGTCACCGTCAGGCGAGGGCGCGGAATATCACTTCATGCTGCTCAATCCGATGCCCTTTTGTCGCTTAATCAGTTGCGCGCAGAGATAACCAAATGATGACCTATATCTAAACCATTGAATAATCCGTCGGAGACGATGCTCCAATAATAGGCCTGTAGCCTGGCCCTTTTTATTCCTGATACAAACGACAAGCTTGACTGGAAAATTCGATGCGTGATGCCTCAGATGGCATTTGGCTTTCCTGCGCTTGTTTGTTCCCATGATCCCACCGAAGAATCTCACGCTACCAGAACCGGAATCTGGAGCTCTGACTTCGTAGTTCGTTGGGATAGGGTTCTTGCACTGCCGTACTGATGAGCCTGTTTGTTTGGCCGTGGCTTATCGTAAATGATCGTAAATTTTTGTTAGAAACGGTGTTTTTTATCACAATAACAAAGCCAAGCGGTTTTTCGGTCACAAACCAGGCCCGAAGTTCGTTGGGACAGGGTTCACCTTTGCCCGTCTTGATGTAGTGTGTAAGCCTCTCTTCAAAAAGGCGATGCTTAGCTCTTTCTAGGCGCTAGGCAATGGTCCCGTTCACTTGGTTGATAAACCATGGCTGAAAGTACTTGACTGATTTGTTGTGAGAGAAAAACACTGTTTCGGCTGAAAAAACAAGCTGAAAACTACGGATTATAAGACAAGCGAACAAGGCCATTAATACTGCACCACATCTCTTGTCTAGCTCATACTTGATCCGTTTCTGAATTATACTAGTTTACTTTAGTTTTAATGTTTTATTCCAAATCAAGTTTCTCTAGTTTTGACTATGTTTTTAGAAAGATAGATTAACAGCTACAAGCCCAAATAGATGTACGACATATCCAGGGCGGCGGAGACAGCCCTGTTCATTGCTGTCACGTAACAACAATGATTATTCCTGTGATTTCAATTACAAATTGATGCTCATATGTGAAGTTAAGCCATGGTGTAGCAGAGATGACAACAATGGTTTCTCAAATAAAAAAAGAAAGAGGTGATATCAATGGAACCTCCGTCTAGATCCGCCCCTAGACATGCTTTTTGTCGACGTGGATACGATACATTTCGATCGTCGAATGCTATGCGTTGTGTCTACGACGTTTACCGGATCTCGCCTTGGCAATTGGTGTAACAGTCCTGCGCCTCCTGCTTTGGGGTGTCAGTCTGCTGCTTCCCTGAGCAGTTCCGGCACTCACGCTCACGCCTGTCCTTGTTGCTGCCCGATGAGTTCAATTTGGGCGTTACATCTGATCTCCTTGCCAATATATACGACATAGGTTTCTTCCTTACGAGAGCGCGTCATGGCCGAGCCTTGGGACGTCAGTCGTTGGGCCTAGCCGGTACACACACCTCGAGCGGCCGGGACGTTGATGGATCGGAGTATTGTACTTGCGTGCTGTGTCTGCCGTGGAGCACTTGCGTTTCGGCACCAACGACGCCAGCACTGAG